TACCAATTTCTCAGCCTCAACAAACTAAGGGCACATAAATCCTCGTTAGTATCTAGTCAAAAACGGTCGCTGAGACGTAAATGTTCTCGAGACGAAGGTTTTGAAGGTGTTTGCGCGCCGTTTTTTGACCCTGTCTTTGTTTACAATAAGAGACAAACCGACTGTCCGGTTTCGTGTTTTCACACAGGTTGTTTTCGGACACCTCTGTACGAAGTTTTAATCTGAGGCCTTCTTGGTACATTCTACCTTGCCCTGGGGCCTCGGGACATCCTAATATGTCAATATGATGCCGAGGTTATTATCCCCGCGACCACACAGCCTTTTTCCTATAAACTAGCTCGCGTTTAGTCGTATAAGCCGACTTGCCTGTTTGGAAGCTTAGGATCTACGAGCGCTTTGAGACCCGCACGTCACTGTCCTGATGCATCTAACCTGTTATTAACTCCCGAAACACAGATGGGGCAAAATTTGAAGACATCTCCTAAGCTCCGGTATATGTGAAGCCACTTCATGCGTCTTGAAAAGTTCAGCTTGGTCCTTATGTCTCGTAGTAATCTGCTCGCCCACAGCTGCGTTGCAGTTCCACATCTCGCAATCTAGAGTTCTACTGAGTAGAGATAGGACACTCCCAGAACCAGTAGCAGCGCTTATGACACGGTAACAGATAAACACTGTTTTAAGTTAAACTTCCAATTAAGCCCTCTGGAAGTAATTCAGACGGCATCACTAGTCCTACAGTCAACTGAAAACCAGGGAGCGGGCATGTATGTTGGCCTTTTCATCTATCTTAGAGTTGCATTGCGCCTCAGCCGTCAGACCGAGCGTACGTTCAGTAATGGGTCGTGTCCGCAGACCATAGCATGAAATCCTGGTTGGGACGGATCGCAGACTGCCTGTGGTAGGATTTCACCGTAAATAGAATTTAGCAAATCAGGGCCGTGTTTAAAGCGGACGCTGGTTGGGGTACCCAATCCTATATTCCAAATATCCATGGATGGATAGTGCCTCTAAGTGATTTGTCGGCCGTACCTGGTGAGGACGACTTCCACGCAGGCAGGCAAGGGGATTTGAGCGTGAACTGTTTTATACTAGGGGAGACCTGCGCAGAATCCCCCTACACTCTCGATACTTCGACAGTGAGAAGTAGCCAAAAGTACTGAATATTGGCGTGAGTAAAATGGCAGAGAAATCTAAATAAACGCCCACTAGTGGAGCACGATCCAGACTCGGAAAACGGTCTTCGTGCTATCATTAAAGAGGGTCGTAGCGAAGACCATATCAATAAGGAGCCACTTCAGCCCTGCCCTCAGTTTAGGGCAACCGGATTATCATCCTAGCTGGGAACCTCCCAAATCACCAGTTTAGTGCGTAAGAACTGTAGAGCTTGGTCTACTTAGAAACCAGATCAGAGTCATTCTTACCCCCTCTTCCTCTCATATCATGCGCCAACAGCATGTTTGAGTCACTGGGACGGTGGGTCCGAGCGCAGTGCCCGAGCGAACTGAGGCCTTTATTCAACGCGTATCATGCACGGTCCGCCTCCGTTTAGGTCTGACAACGGCGCAGAGCGTCCACCTCAGACCTTCAAGATGGCACCACGCCTCACTGCCAACGAGGATTAACTTAGACCACCTGGATGCAGAGCGGAGGTCATTGTTTCTTCTGTTTCCGCATCTGCAACTCTGCCCATAACTGAGGAATTTGGAGATATATGCGCTATTTGTCGGATACAGTGGATAGATTTCGAAGATAACTTCTGCGTAAACTTAGATATAATTAGGAGTTGTAGTCCCACCATCTGTTTTAAGTCTTTAGGCCACTATGACAAAAAGGCAGGAAAGATACTCGTGCACCGTAACGTCGGGCTCCGATCTCGCACTTGTGATCCGGCCAACCAGCATCCATATAACCGGTTCACCATATCTGTCGGCGATAGCGACCGTTGGCGTTGAGAATGGTTCAACGCACCATCTGAGTGCAACTAGTTGGCGTTCGAAACACTATTAGACTTGGCATTTCAACAACGGATACATAACCCACCAGCCTAACTAAACTCCGGTCAGCTGCAGATTCTGGGGCTGGGTACATGAAAGCAGACAGATATGACTTGCTGCGACCGGCAACATCTTCGGGTCAGCCTAGCTTTTTATCCGCATATGATTGAAAACACATTTTAATAGTGTTGGTGATTCGTGTTAGACGCCTTGGTTGCGCTACGATGCAATACCTCAGTGTAGTTGAGGCTCTGTGAAGGGAAATCTGGTCCTATTATGCAACCCGAACTGAAATCCAGAGTCAGCGCGGGCTTAGTGAAGTTACCGGGTTTGCACGCCATCTCCAATAAAAAAACTTTATCAGTTTAGGAACCTAGGGTTGCTGTCCCCGGCAGCTCGGTCTAGATGCCGCTGTTATGACACCTTTAGCCAACTCCGTAGAATGACTGTAAACCAAGCTGCGCGAAGTCCAGAGCCTATAGGACCCAATGGTTTGACTAACGTATCAGCAAAGCTAGTGTCCGAACCCTTGCAGATATCGCTTGTAATCGCCATGCTCGCGCCGAACTTGTCTACCTTTGATAAACACCCAGTCACTGCTTCGTTATTTTCCGAGTTGGCAGAACAATGACGCGCTGGCAGATGACATGCGTGTAGGAACTGATAACCTTCTGTAGACAGTATGGCCTCCCAAATTAATGACACACCAACTGATAGTACTCGGCTAACTAACTAATGATACACTCGCAAGGAGATAACGTCTAACCAGACCAAGTTCTGGGCCATTCGTGACGATGTCATGGCTTTTCGCAGACTTAAAACTAGACTAAGCAACCGAGGCCGATCCGCTCCTTTGCTAGATGTCGTAACCTCCCTCACCGCCAGTACCGGGAGATTTGGTGGATCCTGCTTGGCGTAATACTTCCGTCCCAGCCCGGTTTATGACCTAAAACAACCCCTTACTGTGTAGGCGGCAACTCTAAGTGTTCCGCAAACTATCGATCGAATGAACTGTCCGAGATTTCGAAATGTCTTCGATCCTCGGACAGCAGATTTAAATCAGGATATGTGGAGCGGAGGACTATTGTTATGCCTACCCTGACCTGGAAACACCACAGTATGCTGCCAGTCATGACTCGATACAAATCTGCTGGAGTGCAGAACACAAACATACAGCCATGAGGCGGGCACTTTCGCCCTGCAACCAAAAGGAATCTGTAGATGCCACCCAAATTGACCCTAAGTACACAAAATCTCCGTCGACAGACGGGTGCTCATAACCCAAGTACAAGGGCAATCGACTCGAAAATGCTCGATAACCAGATCCGAGGTCCCCAACTGCGGTTGGGGTTCCGATGTGATGACGGAAAATGCGTCGGAAAGTGGCCATTCTGATCTTTTCTGTCGGTCAGCAACATTTCCGGCGTTCTAAAAAGCCAACGTTGTCGGTAAGGACATAGGAACAGAGATTCCCGCATGAATCACTTGAAGACTAGAGACATTTCAACAATCGACGGTTTACTTACATAATCCGCTACACGGCAGACGTAAATCCTCACCCATCGGAACCGGGCATAACATTGTAGCAAACAATATCGATTTGACTTTTATAGGCAATAGATGAAATATGGCAAAACTTCCAGTAGAAAACTGTTCGGGAATTTGGATAGAATTTACAGAAGCCGAGGCAATAGAAATATAATACAAGTGTCTTTAATCAATACTACTGACGGCGAGTGTCCGAAGAAGGGGCCGGAGAGTATTCTCGAGGGCTTGGTGAAGGTGAAACAGGGCGTCGAGAGGTCATTAGGTATTGTGAAGACGAACTCTGAAAACTGGAAGGGCTGAAAGCCGACGGGCAATATGACGTTCCATACCCAGTACCAGAGAGACCAAGACCACTTATGCTTGAACCAGTCCCGGTTCCCATGGCGCCACCGTGAGAGGACAATGGGTAATTCGGTGTGGCTGGATAGGATAACGGCGAGTGGCTCGGGCCCGTGATTCCGGTAGTGGTCCCAGCACCACTAGGTGAACTGGGAGTACCAAGATGAGGTGAGTAGGACAACATGGAAGAGCCTCCAAATGACGGCTGTGGACTATAGCGTGGTGCAGATGGAGATGCATAGTACATGGGTGGAGGACTGGGATGGCTGTATGGATTAAAGTTGGGCATTAGATTACTTAACGATGAGCCTGAATCGATGCTGGGTGAGAAGCCGCTGGGAGTGTCTGAACCAGGTGCGATCCAACTTGATGGGCCCCGACCGGATGAACTTAATCCAGAACCCGGTAAAGCGGGGCTGCCGGGACTGTAGGAATCCAAACTGTCAGGAGAAGCACCTGTGGGTGATACAGAAGACCCAAAACCAAAGCCAGATATGCTCCGCTGCGGCGAACGTTGAAGGTAACCAACGGAAGTGGGTGAGTAAGACTGCTGCTGTGAGTAGCTAGGCGAGCTACTATCAGCTCCCAAACTTAGACTGGACGAACTGCCGGTACCGCCGTAAGTTGGCCTTGAAAGTGGAGAATAACTTGCATCAGCACCCAGACTCATGTGACTGGCGTAGCCAAAGGAACTGCTTCCGGCGCTGCCTGAATGTCCCGGGCTTGAGCCAGGTGATCCAAGGTCCGTTTGCGGCGTACCGGTCAGCGACATGGGACTCGCAAAGCCCGACATAATTGCTGGTGAGAAAGGAATATCAGGAGTTCGGGGGCTGTCCAGTTGGGGACTACGACCTGGAGAGTAGGAGAGATCGTGGCGGTACATTTGAGGCGAGAACATTGCTTCGTGCGGAGCCGTGACGCCACCAAGACCGCGGCCTAGGTATGGTGATGCGTCCATTCCCGCGATGAGAGAGCCAGCAGGTGACGCTGCGTTGTCCCAAGGAGTGCTGCCACCAGGTCCACCGGCCAGCATGGAAATCCCATCAGCACCTACAGAGAGACCAAGACTGGGCGTCGCCCACGCTGCACCTGAGCCGTCCAAAATGCCACCATTGAAAAGTCCCATGCCCATGGCGCCGGCCATTGGAATCGGCTGAGCCTCTTGGCATTTGCCAGAGTTGAGCAACAGATCGAAGCATCCCGTACCTATCTTGGCTAGCTGGCCTAGCATCACATTCTCAGAAACACCAGCCATTGGGTCAAACTCAGCGTGACTGGCAGATTCCATCAAAATATCAACGGTCTCTTCAAAACTGCAACGTGCGAGAGCGCCAGTGTCTAGCCTGTTAATACCATGGCGAGTTATAGCCATAAGATGGCCCTTAACCGTCATTACATCACAAAGAAGGGCCAGATGACGGTAGTTGACGTATGAACCATCAAAAGAGATCACGTGGTGCATTTCCACTTCTATGGCTTTTCGAACTGCCTCAATTCCCAACGCCTCAAATATCTCGACGATGTCGTTGCTAACAGTTCGCACGGGGTCAACATCTCGTTCGGCAAGCACCTTCATGAGACATGTTCCGTCGGTCTCCAACATCCACTCAGCAACACAATCGAAACTGCCATCTTCCCGAATGATAACACGCTGCTTGTCCTGTGTCTTTGGAAAGTGCATGTAAACTTTAGTTATTTGTGGGATACCCTGAAGAGCAATGTCTGTCAGGAGATTGGCCTCGATAAAACGCAGGAACGTGTCGTCTTCCATTTTATCTGCAGTAGAATCGGCCTCCTTTAGGTCCTTCTCCAAGTCACTGTTCATAATTCGGATTCGCATAGCCAATTTCAGATTATCGTCAGGGATGTGGCAGATCAAGTCGTTGCCAAAAGCTCGGGTAATTTTGTCTGCAATCTGCTCCATCGTCAGTTTTTTGCCCGTCATGCCCTTACGAGCAAATTCTATTCGCAGCATCCAGGGGCTGATTGCGTTAACATCAAAGTCGGGGAGTTCATAGTAAGTGGAGACCCACTCTCTGTCTTCCTTAACGACACTATTCTTTGGATCAGGGTCATAGTAAATGGATGTGCTGTTAACCAGCTTCCGCAGTGTGGTGTGTTCTAGGCGTGCAACCACATCTTTGGCCCTTTCTGCATCTCTAGCAGCCTGTCCTGTGAGGAAAACGGTCATTGAAGGTGTTTTCGGGCGCTTACTAACGTTGATAATTTCCTTAAGACGCGGAACACCAAGAGTGACGTTCTTTGCAGACACACCGGCGTAATGGAAAGTGTTTAGAGTCATTTGTGTGGCCGGTTCACCAAGTGACTGAGCGGCCAGGGCACCGACCATTTCGCCAGGGTGGATCTGTGCCTGCTGAAAACGACTGCGGACTTCCCCGAGCACCCAATCTAGTGCTTCGTAGGTGAGGCGATGTTCCTCTATCACCTTCTTGGCACATAACGTTGAGCGGATTAAACACGACATCAGGATGGTGGCGTTCGTGTTAGCTTCCTTGCTGAGTGAGTCCTCACCTGGAACAACCACAAGCCGCTTGCATGTCTCACGAACCTGTTCCACGACCTGACGAGGGTGTAGATTTGTCTTGGACAGCGTGTCAATTTCAAATAATTTCTGGGCATTCCAAATAAGGCGTGCGATGTTGCAGGGTAGTACGACACGATCCTCCGGTTTTTTAATGATAGAACGCAGCAATTTTCTATCGGCACACAAGGTAGCCCACTCAGCATCCAGCTCCGCTTGAGTTTCGGGATCTGTCGCCAAACTGCGAACCATGTCGTCTGGCATGCACCGGCGCAGTGCGCGCTCATTGTTCACATCAAAACGGAAATTGTGCTCAAACGCCGCGTCCGATGGCTTGAAAGACGGAAGTCGCTGGAATTCTACATGGGCTGCATCCAGACCATCTTCGCCATAACGTAGCTGAATAAGCTGATTAATCTGGTTTCGAACAGTGCCATCGTACTTAACCATGACCGATTCCATAGCTTTAATTAGCCGACGCTGGATGTAACCGGTTTCGGCTGTTTTCACAGCAGTATCAATGAGGCCTTCACGACCGCCCATGGCGTGGAAAAAAAATTCAGTAGGGGTCAACCCCGCAAGATAAGAATTTTCAACAAATCCCCTGGATTCAGGACCATAATCGTCTTGGATGAAATGTGGCAGAGTTCGATGGCGGAAACCAAAAGGAATTCGCTTGCCTTCAACGTTTTGTTGACCGACACAGGCGATGACCTGTGAAATGTTAATTCGTGAGCCCTTGGAGCCAGCGACGACCATAATGTTGAAGTTGTTATACTTTGACAGGGAACGCTGAGCGCAACTTCCTGTTTTATCACGAGCGTCGTTAAGAATTTTATTGACGCTGTTCTCGAATGTCTGACGTAGAGTATTGCCAGGAGTTGGCTGGAGGTCATAATTATGGGCTTGGTCAATTATTTCGAACACAGCGTCCTTCGCCTTTGTGATGGTTTCACCAATTTGCTTTCGTGTAGCTTGGTCGTAAAGAGTATCGGCGATACCGATTGTGTGGCCTTCAAGAAGCAACCAGTTGTTGATGACGGTCTGGATATTATTGAAGAACATGCCAACCTGTTCGTAGTTGTGCTCGAGTGCCACAAGGTGAATAAGTGAGCCCGATGCCGAACCCAGCGTCTTTTTGCATAAGATGCCGCAAACGAGGTCACCATCGTCAATTAGTACCTTCGTGTCGCCAGGGGATAACCATCGATAAGGGCCACGGTCTTCATCCTCTGGGTGCATGCTGTGTGTGCGGATGCAGTTTATCCTACCAGGTATAATGAGGCTAAATAACTGTTTGCCAGTCCACAGGCGTTGTGGTTTATAGATGGCGGGTCTCGGCATTCTTCCATTCCATGTGGGCAGGTACATGAGCAAATTCATCATGTTAGCTCGATCAATAAAGACATCCCGTTGGGTCATTTTATAGGCAGCAGTCAAGGTGTCCTGCACAATACTCATGACTGGTTTGTTTGCTTGAGGAGTAATGACTAGACGGGACACCCTAGCAAGCTGGCTGATCTCAGCTTTTGTCTCGACCGATTGGGGGAGATGGAGATTCATTTCATCGCCGTCGAAATCTGCGTTGTATGGCGTTGTAACAGACAGGTTTAAGCGAAAGGTCGACCAGGGCAATACTCGGACACGGTGACACATCATAGACATTTTGTGGAGAGTCGGCTGCCGATTAAAAACCACAAAGTCGTCGTTTAGCATGTGCCTTTCAACGGTGTAGCCAACTTGGAGAGTCAAATCTGCGACTTTTGGATGATAGCGGAGGTCAATCCTATCACCATTTTCTCGGACAATGAATTTGGCCCCCGGATACATAGTACCATTCTGTACAAGTTTCTGTAGAAAGTCGATGTTGGCCTGCGTCACTCGTTCGGGGTAAGTAAGATTCTGAGCAATTGTTCGCGGAACACCTACCTGGTCCAGGCCGAGATTCGGATCAGCTGTGATGACCGTACGGGCAGAAAAGTCCACACGTTTGCCCATTAAATTTCCACGTATACGACCGGTTTTGCCCTTCAGACGCTGCTTGATGGATTTCAACGGACGACCTGACTTTTGAATTGCCCTAGGGAGCCCAGGAATATCATTATCAATCAGTGTCGCCACATGATACTGAAGCATTCGTACATCCTCAGTAATTATGTGTGCTGCGGCTCCATTCTGTTCATCCCGACGGAGTTGATTGTTTGCCTTGATAATGTCCGCAAGCTTGTGTGTCAAGTCATCTTGGTTGCGGGCTGTACCATACATGACGATGGCAGGACGAACAGCCAGGGGCGGAACGGGAAGCACGGTGCATATCATCCAGTCCGGACGCGCATACTTAGGACTTAGACCGAGAGCCTCACAATCTTCGTCTGAGATGCGTTTGAATACCTCCAAAACACGTTCAGCCGAAAGATTTATCTTCTTCTCTTGTGACTCTTCGTTAACGCGTTTCCATTCGGCTGTTAATTCTAAGCCAGCTCGACGAAAATGAGGTTGAAATCGCCCACAACCAGTTCTTGTGGTCTACAAACAAGGCATATGGATGTACATATGAGAAATTATCAGTTTCAGGAGTCGTGATGAGAAAAACATGCATTAAATTAATCTAGGGGACATGGAAAAAAGACTGACTTTTAAGGAAACCGTAAAAGGCCATTGTGAAGGAGTGAACTGCGGCTAACACAGACCTAACTAGCGTATGAAGTGTCTCTTTCATAGTAGGAGATAAAAAATTAATGTGCATTTTTCGTTTGCGTGAGCTTCAAGGCATTTTTCATCCAACATTTACTAGCCCTTAGACGAAAAGTGACGTCGAAAGAATTCATAAGGCTACTTTAGCCGATGTGGGATTACCTTGCTTTCAAGAGTTAGTTCTCGTTCACCGTTGCCCGTATCTTCTGGGGACAAGCAAGTAGTCCGTGACTTGCATTCATCGTACATGAAGGCTAGACGTCGCCGAGGATCGTTCTTTGTTTTCCTCAGTATGTCAGCAATTTTCTCGGACTGCGGATTCACCAACAACTTGGAACAATGGAAGCAAACACAACGGAGGATCTTGAGTGTCTTTTTGAGAAAGCCGACATGAAAGACGGGTTTTGCCAGCTCTACGTGTGCAAAATGACCTGGGCAAGATGCTGCGTTGCCGCTGCACGTCTGACAGATGCTTGTCCGGCTTACACACCCTTGTCTTGGATCCATAAGACCACCAAGCTTGGGCTTTCCGCCTTCCATTGTTTCAGCGTACTTAATCCCACCATCTGGGGCCACAGACATTTGTTTCTAAAATTGAAATGGTTCAAGGAATTTGCGAGTAACAGAGTACCAATGGTCACCAAAATCAAAAATTTTCTGAAAACCAACTAGCTTAACATGCTTTACAACGCTGCTTTCTACCTGAATTTCAGATGAAACAACTTGCTACCAAGCAAGGTCAGTCATGTTTATTTTGAACAAGAGGCGAACGTGGGAGGTGATTATTCTCTCAGTGTATTATGACCAAGTAAGGAGTTTAACAGTTAAAGCCTGGAATATTCATTTTAACAAACGGCTCAGTCCGCGATAGCTAGCGCTCGTTACATGGCCTACTTATCCCTTAGACGGCGGTGCCCAGGAGCCAATAAGAACCTTAAAAGTTAGATGACTGTCTCAGCGTTCAGTAGCACGTTAATCCGGATACCTTCCATGTTTCCGGTGAGACAAGTGTGTAAAAATGGCATCAAAAACTCCAGTAGTTCTGAATACGGATGGAACTGTACAGTCGCGAATGTAGGTGCCGAGGTTTAGGCAAGACCGTGCATAATCAACGAAATAGGAGGTTGGCTACTGAAGGTCGGCAGTTCGCCGCGTTTAACGTAGTTTATATAGTTTGAACTTCACATCAATAGGGAGGTGACACAAAAACGAGCAGGTCTGATATCCGACAGTTCCTATGGTCGACCGACTTATGAATCTCCTAACCAAGCAGGGCATTACTCCAATTCTGCTTCTGCAGCGGACAGGGGTCTCCATCGACCTGACAGGGGGCGTTGCTTGTGGGGGTAAACAAGGCGACAAAACATGGGTTCTTTTATGCCTGTGAAGATTAGGCGAAGTCGCCAATCCGAACTGGTTGCTTGTAACAAACAGCTTTGCCTATAACGATGGTGGCAAATCCGGCAACGCGTATGTCCTGATTATTGGGTCCCACTTCTCAGCCGCATCGGTCTGAGCTGTGCCTTGCGTAATTGATATCCCCAAAACGCCCTGTGATGGCAACTAAGTACCAACAGATCAATCGTCTCGATCACCAAAACAAGTCAGAAGTGCAATATACAGACAAAAAACCAAAGGCGCCAACCAGACCGATGTCGAAGTCGACATTCTTTCGATCGATGCCACGCCCTCTTGCTTCCTAGACAGGCCCGAAACACGCTGCCATAACGTAAGGAGGATTTGGGAAACTTGTCATCATCGGTATCCTTCAGGAGATTAAAGTCACCCAAAACGGCTAGGTGTTGCCTTCGTGGCGGTTTTTCCAGTCGTATGAAACCTAACGGAAAGGTTGCTATGCAAAAAGCTATGGCGTGTACTGGCACGGTAGCATTTGCAGTACGGACATCTGATTACTTCGAAAGCACAGGTAAGATCAGTAATTGGAGGGCATATCACAGTTAACGCTGACATGGTCACATAAAACGACTCAGGTGAAGAGATCAGAAGATTCCGGCTCTATGTTGTCTCTGGGCTTCCCAGATTTAAGCAATCGAACTAGCGCTAACGAACTATAGTAACAAGACAGTTATGTGTGGTCTGGTTATTATAATAACCAGACCACACATAACTATCTTGTTACGTCCCGTTTTTTACTAATACCTTCTATCCGATAGATTATTTTTAAAACAGAAAAAGGTCCCAAGGCACCCTTACAATTTCATCAGGGCCGAGGATCCCAAACTGAAGGATCCTCACATCCCTCTCGGGGGCGAAAGCACCGTCCATCATCGCGACGAAGGGCGGCGCAGAATGACGGTTGTTTTTCGACAAGTGATCAATTAAAACAAGGTCACCCTTACAGGCAAAGCACGCAAACAGAAATCCCGAATCAATCAGTTCACGCTTAGATCCGCAAACTGTGGGCTCCAAGGCGAGATCTACGTAAATATAAAAAGTTCTTTATCAGGGCACTTAGTAGAATTCTGAACTTTATTCGATGGATCGGATAGCAGAACGAGTTGTGATTTCACAGACTTCTGAAAAGAAAGGATGGAAAAATAAAACTACGACGGATCACAAGATGTGGAAACTACATATAAAAACGCAGAAAGTGGTAAACCGCAACCAAAATCGGTAAGTTAACGAGCACGTAGGAGACTGGCAGTGCCCAAGGGGCGCTATAAAAAACCTATTCTATTCTGTGTCTAATCAAGTTAAAAGGCGTAGGGAAAGCTGGAAAAACAGGCGAGATGCAGAAATATTTTCTTATTATCCGTTGATAAGCCTGTATAGCCGGAAGTGCACGTGGCATTCGTGTCTCTTTCGGGCTTTTCTGCTCTCAACCTCTGGATAGGTGTCTGGAAACCTCAAAAATGATTTTCTGACATCTTCATAAACGTCGCCTAACTTCGAATCTCCTCAAATTGCGGTTTTTGTTAGGTTCGGCATTAATGGGTAAGCAAAAACAATCGATATTTTTTAGATGAAGTGGATTTGCCTAGTACATTTCACATTATGAACTGTACTTAATTCCACATACCGTGGCTGTATCGACTACGCGCCGCTCGAAGACACGGCCTGTCTTTGATTTAGGACTGTTTAATAAACTCGCAGCATTTGCGTTAAATTCCCTTTCATCTATTTGAATTTTCCACCAGATCATGTGTGAAACGACTATAATTACAGCAGAGACATGCATTTTAATAATCAAAAATTAAGGGGGCGATGTGAAATCTTTTTCACATGAATCAGCGCTAGGCAAGTAAGTGTGATCAATGGGACTCATATCTATCTCACGAATCATTTGTTTAAATTCTCAGCTCTCATCTAAAAATTTACGAAGCACACGTGTTTCAGGTTCACGCCGATCTGCAGACTACAGGAGGTTCGTCGACATAAACTACGGGGTCTCTAAGACGCTAATCCTGGTGTATTTGAATCGAGATATGCAAGTGTAACTTAGTGATTGACAATGTGAACAATCCACCCTTTCTCCTCAGTTCACTTGCAGTAGAATCGCCAACTCGTTAAATGTTAACCGAAATTCCGAACTGAGTTTTCGACTCGAAAAGATAACATGAGCAGGGCTGTAATGTTAATTATCGTGCAGCATAATCCCGAAATATTTCGGTTACCTCGGGATTTCGGTTTTGAACGAACTTCTTTCCGGCCGCCTGTATATACTACACTCCATAAAATTACCACTTAAATAATATGAGTCTTTCTCATTGGTTTTTGATTGCCTTATTCATTCAAATATGTTTCGTGGAATTCATGCATAAAAGTGCTCATTATTTTGCTCATTAGGAGGAAAATTATGTCTTCTTTAAAGTTCACAATTTACAGGAGGGTTTAATTTGGTTTTGAAAAACTTTCCAATTCCTGAATAATTTTTAATCCTTCTTGCATCGAGGGTATTCGCGCCCCAGCTCTCCGATTTTTCGTCGAATTTACTTGATAGTATAGGGCAGACGGATTGTCGCGTGGAAATAAATTGCGAACTGACAACGTATCCTTTGGATTTGGATTACAAGTACACCAGCTCGAAAGTTCTATCATTATTGGAATTTTCGGGTCTCGACGTTATTTCCCACGGTATCAGGAGGAAGATTCTACCCGAATTCTTCAAGGAACAGCACCACTGATTAGTCTTCTCATTCGCACCGGTGAAGTATACCACAAATTCTCCATCAAAGGATATTTGCAATCGTCCGACCATCTGTAGAAGTCTCCCTACTTGATAACTTTTCTCCGAGATCTACGTCGAAACCTATAAACGGCTGAGTCGTTTTCTATTTAACTTAATAATTGGTAAATTCTTCATTCTAACAATTGTTGAAAACATCCTGCACTACTCTAGAACTGATTGAAGAGTTTGAAAATCATCAACAATGAGCCAATTTGTTATAAAAAAAACTCGTTCAAAAAAGTTGTGCCAGCGGGATTTGAACTCGGTACCTGCGGATCCGGAGGCCAGGGCGTTAACCACTGCACTATCGATGAACGGTTTGGCGCTAGTCAGATATGTTTATCAACTACAGAAGAGCAGCTGAAAACTGTCTTTAATTCATTAGCAGTCTCTTGTGATAAAATGCCGCTGGAATCATTAGACTCCAGGGATATTACGCACAATAGGCTCGAAGAGATAAGACAGGAAATAAGAACCGATGCACTGCCAAGAGGCCTCAAAAACTGTATGATAGACGGGACGGATTCTGCGCTTGTCGGTCGCTGTGTCGGCTGTAAGGAACTTGATAAGCGGGTCCAGACGCTAGAAGAGAAGCAAGGCCTACTGACGGACATCATCATGGCTATTCTTAAGCACAGTAAAATAGAAGTACCAAATAATCCGTCAAATTTCCGATCGATAAGCGACGAACATCCTACTAATAAAGGCACTAGCGCGGAAAAGTCAAAGCCAGTCAGGAAGAGGAAGCGAGTTATGTCTCCAGAGGAAACTCTAGACAAATCGGTTCCGGTGGATAACGTGGCCGTCGACACTAATGCATTAAAAATAAGTCAGGTTCCATTACCTGCTATAGTAACTAAATCTACCAAATCATCAAACACTAAAGTTGGGAAAGCCAGGGTGACCCTCAGAAGATCTGTTAGAAACTACAAGGACTCGCCGTTATTCTTGGAGGGCAATGCTGTTACTCCACTTCTTCACAAGGCTAACTCATCTGGAAAGTGCCCTAACCAATCCGTTTATGGAAAAGGACACGATAAGCCTTCGTGCAGTGCATTGCAACAGGGTAATGATTGTAAGAGCTCCACTGCCGGAGCAAGTACGTCACATGAAAATCCATGCCCTAAACTCCCTTCGCCGGCCGAAAATCATTCAAATGTCGAAGTGACAACAGCCGTCGGGAATACTACAGTAGCATTATATCGTCCTAGCGCGGACGGGACAGTAATGAGCTCTTCCATAAATCGTAAGCAAAATATTGTCATAAGGGGCGCCCCAGAGTCCACGTCCTGCATTCCGAAGGAACGAGTGACGCACGACCTAGACCCTCTTCATCAGTACGCCAGTGCCGTCCTGCAGGATGGGGAAATATTCACCGTTAAAAAATCTTTCCGACTAGGCAGAACGGACCCAAATTGTGACCATAAAACTTCCCCAAGACCCCTGAAAGTTATTTTGGAAAACGAAGCCCAAGCAGCGCTTTTGTTAGAAAGTAGAACGACCTTACGCAATTCGCACAAGGAAGTGTTTTTTCAACCAGACTACGAACCAAGGAAAGACTGAAAATGAGAGAACTCAGATCAGAATTGAAGGAGAGAATTGGCAGAGGAGAGAAAGGGCTGAAGATCAAAAATGGACAAATAGTCCAAACAAAGGGGTCTTTCCTGTGGTCAGAACCCGTCACAATGAAGGCCGGGCCTCTCCAACAAATCAGTCATTGAAGGTTATATCCGCAAATGTGCAAAGCCTCTTCAACAAACTAGATGAACTAAGAGACTTAGTTGATGAAATTAAGCCAGACATTATGGCATTCGCAGAAACGTGGTTTACTGAAGATATCGCAGATTCAGAAATATCACTTAGAGGATATCAGCAATTCAGGAGAGATAGACTAAGCCGAGGAGGAGGAGTCATAATTTATGTCCCTTGCCAGCTAAGCGCTATGGCTGATGTACACAGACCGGTACGGGATGTGGAACTGTTAAGCGTAACCATATCTACTAAGAATGTCCGAGCATTGACACTTTCGGTGGTGTACCGTTCACCTAACCATACTTCTGACCAAGATCTCATGCTTATATCCGAACTGTACCAAGCTAGCGAGAAGAAAGACGTCCTTATCGTTGGGGATTTTAACGCTCCTGGCATATATATATGTATATATCAGCGAGGAGGGACGACAGAGAATGCGGGTAGATTGATACAGCACTGTTTCGGGCTTATATATATATATATATACATATTGGTATGATACCAGTGTCGCAACACTCCGATTCGCGGCAAATCGGAATGTTGTGATACTGATATCATACTAATCGTACATTTATATACGCTATTAAGAGGAGACCGTATGGGTTTCATAAAGTTTAGCAGTGGATTTGAGCCACATTGTAAACTTTACAAGCAAGATTAATAGATACAGAGACACAATGTTTTATTAACGGGCATTTTATGGTCCGGAAAAAATATCATAATCGGAAGCTTTTAACACCAGGTAAAAACCTCCAGCATAATAAAAAGGCAACGCACCACGATCTGCATTGGGTTGTTTGAATGAGGAGACATTTTGGAGCGGGGGCCTACAATGGTAATGGTGTAGCTGCCTGTCGGTGAAAATGGAGGGTGTCCTTTCCTCTCACTGCCGCTGACCTTCCCGTAACTTTTCCTAACTCTCGAATCTCTCTCTCCGTAGGTTTTTTCCTCGGCCCTCCCCGGCAGTTGCCCACAGCGCTGCGTTCTCCTCCGGTTGTTTAGCTGGCATGTCAGTATCGCCTTACCATCTAGCCAGGTTATTCCCTCGTAATTACTCATCCCGTTTCTACATTTAATTACTATTATATGTCTTCCCACTTCCCATTTCTTCCTATTATAACTTATCGTCTACCTGCCTACGTTTTTCTTCCCTGGGTTATGGATGAGCATTGCGACATGATAACGGCCGTACTTAGATCGGTCTTTGTCAGGACCCCTTCACAGCGCTTCACTACCTCCATTTGGGCTATTATTGAAGTCATCGGACGCTACAAAAAAAACCCCAACATTATCTTTTGCGGGCAGCATACACATTGAAGGTAAATTGAGGGTAATCCTAATATATTAC